TATAACGTAACTACGTCACTTTGATCCTGTGTTCTTCACTTTCACCGCCTTGTGCGACCTGGAGTGAATATAGTTCTTATTATCGATAAACTTTTACTAATGTAGTTTACTCAATAGTTATATAACTAGGGGCAACTTTTGCTATATGAAACAGAAAGAAATTAATGAGTTTATTTGACTACTGCCATGAGCAATAAAAACCTGATTAAACGCTCTACACTAAAAGAATTTGGAAAGAAAGTTTTCCAGCATATAAAAAAATTACACTCAATAAACATTGGGCATCTAACACGCGATCACTTACTTTGTAAAGTTGTCCTACGCTTACAAACACTTTGCACCGCATTGCTCTTGCAATCAGCTTCAGTTTCCTTCACTGCAATACTGCTCTTGATTTCATGGTTAGCTTTCCGGGACAACCACCGCGGAAAAACTGTAAGAATACCTGGAATACCAATCGCTACGGACCTTTTATTGCTCAAGAGAGATGATGCTTCTGTTTGCGCATTCGGTGCTGCTAACAGTCCCGGTGTTGACGATGTTACTGTTGCGAGGGTACTAGCAATCTCAACCGTTTTCTCAGCATGCGATACAACAGCCGGTTGTACTCCTACAGCAAAGAGAAGAGACCGCTTAGCTGGCTGTGGTGAAAGACATAATCGTCTCGTTACTTCTCCAAAAATGCCGGGTACTAGTGATTTGTTTGACTGGCCGGCCTGCTGCTGCAGGGAACTAGATGGAGGCCTCCGGTCACCAGGTGATAAGGGAATGAAGATTTTGGGATAAGCTGGTTTGGGAATAGGCCTTTTTTGCTGCAGATGTTGCTGACTGTCATTCAAGTCAGAAGGGGATATTTGCTGGTGGCTGCGAACCCCAAGTGAGGGATTCACAACAGGGCTGTTTGGAAGGCTAATAGTATATGGAAAGCTAGAGCGGATATTGAAAGTTCTTAGACAAGTATCTACTGATAAGGGGGATGAACTACAGTGAAGATTAGCATTTGAATCACACCGGATGTCAGATCCGCGGTCCCCAACGTTAAAGCTGCTGTCGGCAACGACTGAGGCTGTCTCGATTGGCTGATTTACCACCCCTTGTAAGTTGCCGGATCGATCTCTAATTAGAGGCATATCTGAAGACAAGGCAATACCTTCCTCCTCGATTTCACGGTCTTGCCGCATCAAAATCCAGTGTTTACTCAGCTTAATGGAAAGCTACGATAATAAAAAGTAAAGATGCAAATGACGGCAGGTTAGCTCATAAAAATTTTAAAACATCATCCTTCTGCTTCTAATACATTCATTGACAGGTGATCTGTTAAGAATCCGGCTCGATGGCCTTAGCTCTATTAATATAGAGCTAAATAAAACCAAGTTAATAATCCCTATTACTAATTTTTTTAATTGTCAAGAAAGTATTAAAACCAGCTATAAACTCTTAAGATAAGTTGTCCATAATCAAACGCTTAAAAGTCATTGGTAGCCAAACGTGTGAATAGCTAAAAAACGTAATGATGGAAGGCTGGTAAGAAAATGATTACCCTTTTCTCTCGTAGAGCCAAACCTTTGACAAAGGCCCAAGGAAAGTGGAATTCAGTCATAACATTATCACTGCGGTCCGCAAAAAGGGTAAGATACAACCCGAAAGCAGCAACGCCCAGACAAGCGGAAGAAGAGGAGAATGACTAAAAGATGAATAAATAAAGATGGGGTGAATGAGGGCTAAAAGTAGCTAACAATTGAAAAATGATATAAAATGGCTATCTCGAAAGAATTTGGCGGACGCATAAATAAATAACCAAAACAAGAAGGTAGAGGCTCGATATACGGGATGGAATGACTAATAATGTGAAAATTGTCTGGTCTCTAAATAGTGTTAAATTTCGACTCAGGTGTCTGCATGAAGTTCGAATATGTTCAAGTTTATAATGCATATTTTAACTCTAAAAAAACTAACCTGAAACTTCGCCCTCATCGACTATACCCTTTGAATGTATGCAAAGCACAAGTATAAGATGGAAGATCCATCCTTTAGTAAATAGTGATGTTTACACTTCATGATGAATAAGTCAAAGTAATTGCTTACAACAAAGCTTGATTATCCAATGTTCCCCAAAGAGTGTACCCGACGGAAGTGGACTTGAACTACGAATTTACTTATATTTCATGAGCACTCTCGACTGGATTTGAAGCTAGAGCTGGGGATCTGGGGACAAAATTGACAATATCCTAAAGTACAGGCCTTAGTATAGCTATATGGTAGATATGAAGACCAGGATGAAGTGACCTTCTGTTTAATATCAGTCTCTTTTAGCTTTATAGCGTTGGTTTGACCTAGTTTTGCAACTTGGTCTATGTGGAAGGGAGACCTTAGGGGATGTATCTAGTCCTGTGTCCTCTGCCATAGTAATGATGATTTCGAGCATAGGACCATTGATGTAGTACATTCCCAAATGTTTCGCTGGCATCATCAGCAGAGAGTTACAACTTGTGTCCGGTTTAATTCATAAACTGGTGTGAAAATGCACAGCTCCTTTTTTTACCCTCCTGAATAGCGAAAAGCACACTCCTCTCGCCCTTCAAGTTGACACTACTATCTAAACCCATGGTACTAGGATGTTGTCCATGTGTGTTGGCTGGTATACTCAATAGTCATGCATGTCATCAGTCACCTTTCATTAAGACACACACGAAAAATGCACACAAAAAAGGGTCGATGAGTGGTCACAACGGTTGATAATACAATTTGTCAAGGGGATTGCCTTCACTTGTCATATAGATATGTTGTAATTCTGTGCTGACTATGGCCCCTCTCATTGGCAATGCCGACAAAACATTTGCCAATGTACCATGTCAATGCTTCGAT